GGCCCCTAGGAGTAGGATGGTGACCCAGGAGGGATGACCCAGGACCGGGTGGTAACAGTGAGAGAATGGGGCCATGGATCCAGGCAGAGGATGAGGGGAAGACAAACAGGTGAACAAAATATGGGGGCTGCAGAAGGGGAGGAAATAAATGTCTGTAAAACATATATCCACAGAGGGTTTGTATCTAGAATGTGTAAAGAATGCTTACAATTCAATACTGCCCAATTCTTTAAATGGGTGGAAGATTTGGATAGATTTTTCACACACACACACACACACACAGAAAAAAAGATGTGCAAAGAATAAAGAAATGTATGAAAAAAGTGCTCAACACCATAGTCATTTGGGGCATGGCGATTCAAACCACAGTGAAACACCATTACACATCCACTAGGGTGGCCAAAATGGGAAGGACTGACTCTGCCTGGTGGAGTGCTCCTCAGCTGGTGGTGATCTTAGTCACTGTCCTCGCTGTTGGGACACAATACTGGCAACCCACACACTAAAGGAGGAGAGGTTTACTTTGGCTCACAGTTTCAGAGGTGTCAGTCCATGCAAGTCAGCCCATCCAAAGGAAAAGAGGAACAGTAGAAGGGCCTGCTGGGGAGGAAAGCTGCTTGCATCATGGTGGTCGGGAAGCAGAGAAAAGCGAGGAGGCAGGGCAGAAGCTAATTCCCTTGTAGGTCACACCCCCAGTGACCACCCCTTCTGATTAGACCCCATGTCGGCTATTACACCCTAGGATCCAATCACCTTCCAAAAGCCCTGCACGTGAGAGTTTTGGGCATCGCTCTTGATCTAATCCATGACATGGTAGGAAAGGGAAATAATACAGTCACTTTGGAAAACAATTTTTCCATTTCTTATAAAGCTAAACAAACACATGCCATACAACCTAGCCATACAATTCCAAGGTAAATGAAAGTGTGTGTCTATACCCAAGATTTGCATATGAATCTTCATAGCAGATTGATTTGTTAGAGGCCCAAACTGGAAACAACAAAATTGGCCATCAACAAAGTAATGGCTAAATGATTCTAATATATCTGGTACAGTGGGCTACCACTAAGTTCCAGGTTGAGGCAAGATGAGGTAAACATCCCCCACCCTGTCTGTCCCACTAAATAAAGCAATAAAACATGGGCAGAATGCAGTGGCAGACTTGGAAGAGTAAACAGCAGCAGGTGAACTAGGAAAGAGCATAAGAATATGAAGTACCATTGAATTGGGGGCGTTTCCCTTTTCCCCTCAACACTCTCTGGGCTGGATTGAAAGCAGTTTAAAAGCTAAAGTCAGCAACAGGCTATAGACAAGGAAAACTGCAGGGGGAGCCCTTTATTTATGGTTTGAGGGTGGAGATGGCTCACAGAGGGAGAAAATATTCCCTTTTGGTCTTTTCTCCATTCTCCCAGTCCTCAGCCCCTGACCTTCCTGCTGCAATGGACGGGAGACCCAAAGCATCTAAAGCTCTAGAGATAAACCCTGTCTGTTAGAGGAATTCCAACAGATTTGGACAAACACTGTTGCTCACGTGTTCACCCCCACCCTACCCCCCAAATGAGTGCACAGCAGAGCGAGACAGCTAAAACTCCAGTTTTCTGCTGAGGACCCAGAAGAGGAGACCAGAGGGACCAGCAAGTTATCAGTGAGATCGTGGGGGAACTCAGGAAACTGACCCCATAAAGTTGTTTGCAAGCTCCTGGGCTCACCTCCAAGCTGAACATGCGTAGATCCAGCTTACCGAAGACTCAAGAACGGAACTTCCGGTTTTCACTCTGACCCTGGAGACGTCAGACTTCCAAGGCCCAGAAGAGGCAACTGACATTGAAATCATAATCGCAGAAAGCCTGTCAGCCCTTGTGGCCTGATACCAGCTGGGTTAATTGCCTACAAAAAATAAGCATCCACATTCTCCATAATGTAAAATTCAAAATGCCCAGGATGAACAGTAAAATTACAATCTTCTTGCCATAGGAAGTCCAGGAAAATCTCAATTTGCATGGGAAATGGACACAATCAAAAGACACCAAAAATGTGATATTGAAATTAAGTAACAAAGACTTTAAAATTATGGAGAATAGGGCCGGGGATTTAGCTCAGTGGTTTCGCCGCCTGCTGCGCAAGCGCAAGGACCCGAGTTCGATCCCCATTACCAAAAACCAAAACAAAACAAAATTATGGAGAATAATGAGACTATTCCAAGTAAACACTCTTGAAATAAATGGAAAAAATAGAAAGTCTCAACAAAGAAATAGAACATACTAAATAAATAATGAATAGAGTGCTAGGGATGAATGAAACAATTCCATAAGGTCAAATGCTCGTTTCACTGGAGTTACGGAAGGAGTGGAGAAAGATTGCAGTGCAACAAAAGTTCTGAAGAAATCCTGGCGGAAGACTTCCTGAGTGTGTGAAAGGGCATACAGCTAAAGAATATATGCTGTATGTATCATGGCCAGAGAGAAATAACACATTCTGTAGAGGAAACCAACAGTTCCAATTACTTCCCATTTCTCACGAGGAGAGCCCAGAGTCTTGCTGTGGAGATCAGAAGGAAGGCGAATCAAATCTTTAAAGTGCAGAAGGAGAAGAGCCATCAACTCATAATTCTGTTGTTCGTGGTTTCAAGGCTATCCAGTGACAATGTGCTTCAGGAGTGAAAGGAAGACAAAGACGTGCTCAGATGAAGGGAAGAAGAGAGAGGTCCTCAACAGCAGACCTCCAAAAGTAATTTCTTAAAGAAGTTCTTCAAACAGAAGGGAAATGATGTTGGAATTAACTTGGAGTATCAGGAATGAAGACCAACAGAAACAGTAAAGATCTACATTAACATAACATCCAGTTCTGCTCCTAACTTCTTTAAACTATGTTAATGGTTAAAACAAAGATCACATTTTTTGTTTGTTCTTTCATTTTGTTTTGGAGACAAGGTCTCACTGTGTAGCCCAGGCTGGCCTCAAACTCACATCGATCCTCCTGCCTCAGCCTCCCAAGTGCTGGGATCGCAGGCATGTGCCACCACACCTGGGTTGCATACCTGTCTCGCAAGACTCAGTGTAGGAGAGACTGGTGTCACGGTGGTAAAGGGATTTACCAACAGTCAAGGAATACAGAAACGTTAAGACTTTATTGACACACTGTGGGGCATGTGGGGGTGTCCAAGGAAAGGCCGCTCCACCGGGGTGAAGAGCTGAGATTTTCATATCTGAGTTTAACATGCAGGGGGTCTGGAAATACCACCCCAGGGATGATTTCATCAGGTCTCAGTGGTTCTGCGGTCCATCTGTCTCAAGTCCAAAGACAGCCAAGTGTTGTTTGAAGACTGGCATAATGTTCTTGTGTGACAGGGTCCAGTGCCCTGCCCTGGGCTTTGCTAGAAACAGTTCTCCCGGGTAAAATGAATTAACAAATATGTAAATATTGGCCAATGTTAGCGGTCAAGAACATCAGAATGAAATACATGTGTCTGTACTTGAAAGGGACTTTTGCGGTCGTCTTGGGATGGGGAGGAAGTGTCAAGGGATGAGGTCATGTAGGGATGTCTGTGTGGAAGGTGGAAAGTTAATGTTCTACTACGGACTCATTGCTCAACTGCGATGTAGCTTCCAGGGAACCTGTGGTAAGATAACCATGATCCCCACGACACTGACAGAGCTGGCGCTGCATCTGTGGGTAGGGCACCAGGTGCTTTTCTATGCCACTCACGTCCTGGACTGAGGGAAGATGAAAGAAAGAAAAACACTTTTACAATAAACCTATAAATCCGGGCTTCTGACCTGTCCTTCTCACCTGTGAACTTGCTTCCTTCATCCCCGATGAAGCAGTGACACTGGTCAGCAGCAGATCCCAACTTCAGACACACGTAGATGGCTCCCACCCTAACCAGACACAGTGAGGCCCACACCTCCATACCCCTCCTGGAAGACACCCCTTAAACACATCCAACTCCAGCCCCTTACACGTCTCAGGTTTCTGAGCACCCGCACTCTGCCCACTCCTGAGCGTGTCCTAGAAGGTCTGTCTAATCAAACCTTCTCTTACGGCTGGGGATTTAGCTCAGTGGCGCCTCCTCCTGCTTCGCAAGCTCAAGATCCTGAGTTCTATCCCTGGTACCAAAAAAACAAAAACAAAAAACCCCCCACAAAACCTTCTCTTGCCTCTTCCTGACTCATCAGGAGAATTCTTTCTCCACAACGGGTCAACAAACCTGCCCGCTCACAGCCCCAAGAGAGAGCACACCTGACTTCCAGCCCAGGGCTCTGACAGCTGGACAGATTTTAGGGACAAAAGCCCAAACGAGATCCAAAAGGGGGCAGAAATGGAGTAGAAAGCTGGGTGCTGGGAGAGGGAACTCTTTTAAAGAGACACAGCACTCGCTGTGTGTGTTGCCTACACCCCAGCACTGTGCTGGGATCCGGGGAGTGAGTAGGATTACCCCCTGTACGAATTAAAAGAGCGAGAAAGAAAAACTTCAGTAGTGACAGGCTTTATTCAGGATAAAGACCTGAGAGGGGCCCGAGGGCTCCACAGTGCCCAAAGCAGCTCCCTCTCGGGGAGGAAGGGCTGACAGGGCGTTAAAGGGAAGGAGGAGATTAGGTGCCTGCTGTTCTCAGGATCGGTTCCTGGTCTGTCTCCTGTTTGTGAAAGGTTTCCTATTCAAGAGGCCCAACGTCCCTTGATCTGGAATATTCTGCACAGCAAATAGATTTCATGGGCTTCATAAATCCAGGCACAGAAGTATTACAGACAGCCGAGCTAGGTAGAAATATTACAGGCAGTCAGATAGGGCCAGGTCCTGGAGAGGGTCAGGACAAAGGTGAAACACACCGCAACGGCGGCCAGAGACACATCTGTTGAAGGCCAGGCCTCAAGAAAAGGACGAGATGACCAGACCTGCATGCTTCCTCAAAGAACAGACACTGGGCCTAATGAAGTCTAGATAGACATCAGCCGCCCCGTGGGTGACCAGAGACCTCTGGACCCACCGCTTCCTAGGAGAATCTTTGTTTTTCCCATGCACGCTTGTTACGTGACTTGTCTCCCGACTGGACCACCGTTACCCAAGTGACTGTACCTGTAACCTTATTGGACAATGTGGCTGTGGCCCACATTGTTCCCAGGTGGGTTTTGCTCTGTAAAACTCCTCTGTAATGTGGGGTCCCCAGGGCTGCCCACTCGGGTCCCCTCCTCCCTCTTAGGAGCTATCTTATCAATAAATATCTTCCTACTCTTAACCGCCGTTGTTCCTAGAATTCATTCTTCGATTTTTAGAGAACACCTAGCTCAGCATATCAGACATCTAACAGGTTGGGAGATACAATGTTTCATATTTCATCTCCGGTATTATTTCCTGTACCAGGAGGATGTGGGCAAGAGTCCCACTCACGGGAAATGCCCACTGGCTTTTTCCTGCAGCCTCTTTCTCCACAGAGCTCAGTCAGAGAGAGAAGTGGTGTTTTCGGTTGGGCGTGGTGACTCACGCCTATAATCCCAGCACTCTGGGAGGCTGAGGCAGAAGGATCTTAAATTTGAGCCCATCCTGGGCAATTTAGCTATTCCTTGTTTCAAAATGAAAAATGAAAAAAAAAAAAAAAGAAAAGAAAAGAAAAAGAAAAGGGCCGGGGAAGTGGCTCAGTGAGAAGACCCTTGGATCAATCTCCAATCCTGGGGAAGAAGCAAGTTTTGATACAGCTGCAATTTTGTCCACGACTGTCCATGAATTTGGCCCCTGATTTCCGGGTTTGTTTTTGCTGGGTCGTATGCCGAGGGTGAGGCATAGAGGAGCCCAGAGAAGGCTCGGGGGCGAGACAGGCGCTCTCCAGGCCTCCCAAGCTCTGGCTCTTCTGAAACCTGCCCTCTCTCCTCAGAACTGGACTCAGGATGCTGCTGGGGTCGGCTGGGGCGGATCCCCGCAGGGCTCACGGCTCCTGGGCAGAAGGGGACCGGGCCTCCGGCCTGGCGCTGGCCACCGGGGGCGGTGCCGGTGCAGGTCCGCGGGCCAGGGGGCACCTTCCTCGGCGCGCAGGGTCGCTCTCCCGGAAGCACTCGGCTCGGCCCGGACAGGGAGGTGGCGGGCCGAAACCGAGGGTTCCGGGCTGTAACCGTGGTCTCGGGTTGGACAAGGGGGTGCGGGAAGGGAGCTTCGCGGTGCCGCGCGCGCTTAGCCGAAGGACCCGGGTTCGTCTCCGGCGGCAGCAACCGCAACGGAACAGAGAGAGGTAAAAGAGGATTGGGTGCGAGAGGGAGGCGTCGCAGACCCTAGGCTGAGAGGAAGCCCCGCCCGGGTAAAGGCCCGGGACCGCTCCCACACTGCGTCTGAGGTGGGATGGTCGCAAGTTCGAGACCAGTCTGGCAAGAGGGGTGGGTGGGACGCAGCTAGTGTGAAGGGCCTGGTTCAACCCTCGTGCAGGGAGAAACGCCCACAGGAACGCTAGTGTTGCCAAGGAGGGCTCTGCCCCGGGAGAGCTGGGCGGGTCCGGCTTGGCTGCGAGGACGAAGTCAGCCGGGGCGGCACTCGCAGGTCGGCCGCTGCCCCACTCGGGGGCGCCCCGCGGCAGGGTCAGGAGGACGGGCGGCCGCGAGGGCCCAGCGCGAGCGCAGGCTGGCACCGCGGGGCCTCGGGCTCGCGGGCAGAGGGGCTCAGAAGCCGAGCGCCCGTCCTCCCCGGCGTTCGAGGGGGCAGCCCGGGGCCGGACACCGTCGCGGGAGGCGCACGCGCAGTGGGAGGGCGGGGCCTGTCCGGCTCCGAGTGGGATTCGGGTCTGGGCGCTGCGTGCGGAGGAGGCGGGAGCCGTCGGTGCCCGCTGCCCGCTGGGCCTCTGCCTCCTCCCCTCACCCCGCCTCCCGACCGCTTCGCCGGGGCGCGGCCACAGCTTCCGCGCCAGACCACAGGGCTTCCGAGTCCGCGCTGGCCCTGCTCTGCCGTGAGCTCTCGGGGACTTCCCGACACCACCGTGGAGCCGGGTCCTTCTGCGGCCGAGAGCCCTCCCTCCCCTGGGCGCCTCACCCTCGCGCCGGCGCTGTGGCCCGGCCGGCCCCGCTGTCCAGGCAGGCTTTCGGGAGCCGGCTCCGCCTCTGCCTGACCTGTCGGTCACTCTCCCCCGCCGCGGAGGAGGCGCGGCTCCTGCTCACCGCCTGGCCTGGCGCCTGGCGTAGACGCGACGCGTGCACGTTTCTCAGAAGAACGGGCCTCCCGTGGAGCCTGTACTTTAGGTCTGGTCATCCCCTCGCGCCCAGCGTGCGGGCAGAGAAGGCAGAGCCTCAACTCTGCCTGACTTCAGCCTTAGGCCTCCACAGGGTTATTGCTGTGTAGTCCAGGATGGCTTGACCTCATGGGATCCTCCTGCCTCAGCCTCCTGAGTGCTAGGATTACAGGCATGCACCACCATGCCTGGCTCTGCCCCTCTTTTCTCCATCGCACTCACCACAGTGTAGTGGTTCTGTTTGTTGACTGACTCTCTACGGGAACAACTGTGCTAGAGCAGGGCTTTGTCTGCTCCCTGGGGTGTCACCAGCTCTAGAGCAGAGCTTCCTGGGTCAGGCCCTGAGTGCTTGCTGAGGAGTGAGAATAAGCAAGCAAATGAACAGACAAGCGGCGCATGAGCCTGGAGAGCGAGGAGGGTCCGGCCGGGTCGGAGCAGCCAGGGCCCGAGCCCAGCAGCGCCCAGTAAGAGCCCTTGCTGAGAGGTGGCTTGCGGAAGGCGCCAGAGTCCTGCTGTGTGAACCTCACTCTCGGGGTCTGGCTTTGCTCCCTACTTCTGCTGAGTCCAGCCGAGGGCTCCGGGCGGCTCCATGTGAGCGGCCTGGCTTCCACACGTCGCGTGTGTCAGCACCTTTTCAGCTTCTGAGAAACAGGAAGCCCCCGAGGTGTGAGGGCTGGAAGAGACCGATAAGAGGCACCTTCCTCTCCGGTTTGGCCAGGAGACCTGGGCTCCTGTGTGCACGGACTCCAAAGCATCACTTTTTCCCTTAACCCGGAATGTGGGAGGGTGATGAGGAAAATGTGCTTTCAGGAAGGAAAAAAAAGAACAGAAACGACAGCTTAAAAAACATTTATTAAGAAACAGATCCCACATACCAGAGAAAATATTACCCACGCAGTCTAAAACACAGGAAACCCCCAAGTTTCTAGTGCTCAATTAAAAAGAATATTCTCTCCCCACGAGGGAAAGAATTCGTTCCTCCCGTTAGTGTTCACTCTCTCCCACCGGGGATAATCACTACGCTGGTATTTTGGCTTAATCATTTCTTTGCTAGGCTTGATATTTTATCTCATATACAAATGTCCTGAAATTATATGATTTCCTTTTGCCTATTTTTGACCATTTTATAAATGGAACCGTGTTGGATAGGTTTATTTATTTATTTATTTTTTAATTTTTCAGACAAGGTCTTGCTATGTAGTTCAGGCTGGACTTAAACTCAGTATGTAGCCTAGGCTGGCCTCAAGCTCATGGGGATGCTCCTGCCTCAGCCTCCCGTGGGCTGGGATTACAGGCGTGCACCACTCCCAGCCGGATGTATTTATTCAAGACTTCCTTTTACTTTTTTTCGTCTAGTTTTTATTTTTTATTAGTATACATTTGTAGTAATAATGATTCCATTCCTTGTGGGGAGTTGGTACAGAGACATAGCACAGTGGAATTCTCTTTTCATGCCCTTCCCTTCCCCCCCCCCCAACTCTTGGTCCTCTCCTCATTTGTAAAACAGAATTCCTTCAGATTCATCCATGTTGACATACAGTGGCTCATTCGTTTACTGTAATCCTGGGAATGAGTAAATCTCAATTTGTTTTTCTGTTTTACTGCTGATGGGCGCTTTGTGGGTCCGACCCACCAAGTTTTAGTTATTTAAAACAATGCTTCAGAGGTTGGAGGTTTAGCTAGTGGCAGAGCATATGCTTAGCATGTGTGAGGCCCTGGGTTGAATCCCCAGCATCATCAAAGCAGGCTGCCTAAAAGACGTTAGGCAAACTAAGGAAATCTCAATAAGGTGTAGACTTTAGTTAATAATAGCTGTTAGTATCGCTGTACCATACTAATGTAAGAAGAGAAAATTGGGTACATGGGAACTCTGTATTAGCTTCATAATTTTTCTGTAGATGTAAAATTGTTCCAAAGTTAAAAGTTTATTTAAAATCAGTGTTGCTATTAATGTATTTATGTCTCTTGATTCAAGGGCAAGAATTTCTCTGAGTTGGGCTAGATTGAAATTCTGGGTTACAGGGTACATCTGCCTTCAATTTTACTAGGAACTGTGTTTCAAAAGTACCATTTTACTTTGACAATATGTAAGAATTCCTTCTACTTCACGTTCTGAGCTAGACTTGTAGTGTCTGACTTTTTAATTCTTCCAGGCTTGTGGTAACAATGAAGTGTTATCTCATTGTGGTTTAGTTTTGCATTTCCCTGACTACTAACAAGGTTGAACATCTCTTCCTATGTTTCTTGGCCATTTGTGTTTCCTGTTCTGAGAAGTGTTTACTCATGTCATTTACCTTTAGTTGATTATTTATCTTTTTCTTATTAAGACTTTGTTATATATTCCAGAAACTAATCCACTGTTTTAAATACATGACATAGGTATTTGTCCTAGCTTGTGGGTTGCCTTCATTCTCTGACTGGTACAACTTGATGAATGTTGAATGTGTTGATTTTTTTCTTTTTCTTTTTTTTTTTTTTGGTACTGGATATTGAACTTGGGTCCTTGCGCTTTCGAGGCAGGCGGTGAAACCACTGAGCTAAATCCCCGGCCCTATTGATTTTTTTCTTGTTGAGCTGAGCCTTGTGTCTTCTTTTTCCTTCCATCCTGGCCTGGAGAGGGCCCATTGCCCCTCCAGATTCACTCAGACCCTCCTTTCAGCCTGCCTTGTGTCCTTGTGGCCTTTGCGGATGGCATTAATTACTTCTTTGTTCATAGGTTCTCCACTGGGCTTGGCTATGGCAAACACTGAGCGGAAATGAGGGGGTGAGAAGTGAGGGAACTCGAGCTACCTGAGCTTGCTGCGAGCTGGCGGTGACCCCTGAGTAAAGGTCCAGGCTCCTACCGAGAGGTCCTCCGGCCACAGCTCTCTCTCTCTCTTTTTTTCGTACGGGGATCCAGCTTGGGACCTTGCACTTTCGAGGCAGGCAGTGGAACCACTGAGCTAAATCCCCGGCCCACAGAGCTCTCTTTATCTCGAGTTGCAGTGACCAGTCCCTCTCCTTGTTACGAGCCCCGGAGGACTTGGTTGTCCCTGCTTCTTGTTCTTGCTTGCATAATGGTCCCTATTCAACGGACTCTCAAGTTACCCACTGTTAGTGCCACAGCTGTTTTCTGCTGGTCATACCCACCTCGAGGTCATATTTTCTATCTTTTTTTAAAACGAGATTTTGTTGATCTGTGTCTCTACTCCAGGGTCTCTCAGCCTCAGCACTACTGACGTTTTGGATGGGCCAGTTCTTGACGGTAGATAGCTGTTTCGCGCATCGTAGATCAGCTTCCCTGGGCTCTGTCTTTCCTGGCCTCTACCAGTAGTATGTGCTCCTTCCATCCAGCTGGGAAACTGAAAATTGCCAGATGTTCTCTGGGGAAAGAATCATGTTGAGAACCACTGTTCTATCCAGTTGTCAATGCCACACCAATATAATTGTCAAAGTCTGACATCAAGTAAGGAAAGTTCTCCCACTTCTTTAGGATTGCTTTGACTATTCTTAGACCCTCATTCTTCCATGTACAAGAATGAATAGGCTATCTGCCACTTGTCTCGAAAGTGCAAGGTCCTGAGTTCAATCCCCGGTACCAAAAAAAAAAAAAAAAAAAGAATAAATAGGCTGTTTTAGGATCGGCTTGGTTGATACCATGAAGAGAATTGTTGGGGTTTTGATACGAGTTGCATTACATTTATACATGAGTTCCCAAATTACAGTATCATCTTCGTATCTGTGAAAGTTCTCTGTGTGTCTTTCAATAACTTTTTAAATTCTTTAATATTGTAATAAAACTTAGGCCGGGGATTTAGCTGTGGTTTCACCCCCTGCTGTGCAAGCACAAGGACCCGAGTTTGATCTCTGGTACCAAAAAAAAAAATTGTAATAAAACTTATGTTTGTAATTATATCATCTTTGAAACTACATTTTCTAGGGCTGGGGATTTAGATCAGCGACGCTTCACCTACCTCGCAAGTGCAAGGTCCGAGTTCGATCACCAGTACCAAAAATAAATAAATAAAGGAGAAAAC